ATAATAATAATAATAATAATAATAATAATAATAATCGTTCAGCTGCAGCACCCTTTCGGTGCCAAGCTGCCATGCCACCCAAAGGTTGCATGAGGGCTATGATACTGCCAGTTTGCCCAAGCCTAGACAGGAAAGGTCGAGTGGCTGGTAAATGATATGGTTTTTGCAATTCACTGGCTTCTCAATTATGTCTCTCTGCAGGCTAAAATTTGCACTCTGCCCAGACCCTATGGTGACGGACCAGGTGCCATTTTTGAGTTGTTCGACAGCGACTATTCCACACAACTGTTTCGGTCCCCATCATGATAATAAACATGACTCACATACCATTACTGACGGCAACAAAATTTGCAATCGTTTTAATGACCTTTTGACCTCAGTAGAGGGTTTCGTTGGTCTGATATTCAGTGTAACTAGCCTTCAGAATAAAGTATCCACTACGCAACAACGGTCACCTTCAGTGTTTTAATAGAAAAGACCAACGTAGAACCCTATGTCTCTTCTGCGGAATAGCCTAGTTTTAAAACTTGAGGGTTTACGTCATAAGGAGAAGCAAAGATATAATGGACGAAGTGGCTATAATAGGATTGCCCGTCAACTAGAGTCATTAGTTTAACGTTTTCACTTCGAGTCGAATTAAGTTAAAATGTCGCCTCAAAAACCTTGCTTTCCTTTCTTCTATTACTCAGGTGGAATTAAACATTGGCCTCACTTTAATGTCACACCTCAAGCAATAATCGACCAATCATATTCGGTCAACAATCATGAGTTAACATTCACGCACTGTCTAGTCATACTCGCTTTGTTGTACTTCTTCATTGCTTGTCTGTTTTTCTCACCGTAGACACACAACTTTTTTACTTTTCTGAGCTAATATCATGATATTTGGTTGTCTGGCACATCGATTAGTCGAACGTCACCAAATATGTAGATACGTGACAGTATAAAAAATAACCATTAAGGACATTGTTAATTCAGACAGCGATGCCGTATTTCACAATGGTCACGTATACGAATTTTGAAAGCTCGGTTCGTGGAGGTGAAATTCATACCCGTATGTACTGATCAACCGGGGAGAAATGAGACGAGGAGTATGCACTTGAGATAGGAGGCGTTACATCCATCCAACAGACTTGTGATTTTCTCCCGCGGACCGCTTCGCTTGACTTCAGTTCATACGACCCTGGATGTGACCACAAATTTGTAAGTAGTTACATGAAGATTAATGGTGTATTAATCACAGAGAAGTTGCTTTTTGCTAACTTTTTTCTTCCCATTGCTTGCGTTTGATTTGCAAATATGAAACCGGTCAATCAATTGGAAAATGTTTGGGACCAATTGGGAAGTCATCGTTTCAGAGGGGTTTGGTAAACATCGGTGGATTCACCGATTGTTTACCAAACCCCTCTGAAATGAAACCGGCCACTTTTTCTACTTGTGGTGAAACAACTTTGTGAACTAATAATTCAACAGGAGTCACGATTTGGCTAACCAGCTAACCAGCGTAGGAGCGCGATATTAATCAAGCTTAAGGGTGCCAGCGCCTTTTTCCACAAGTCTTAAGACAAACACATAGTTCATTCTCTTCAGAAAATGAATGCTGTTAGCGGCTCGTCGCTTTTAAGATAGATGGGCTTGCTGATCCATATTGGGAGAACCAATAGCTATCATAATTCTTGATATAACTGTCTCAGGAGCAGTTTGTTTTCCTACAATGGTAGTTACCTTTCAAAGTCAACAACCCCTAAATTTCAGAAAGTAAATAGAAGTTCTCATCACAGCGTTTCTTTCTGGTCAACTTTCTAACCAAAAATTTCTAAATTAATATGGGCGAAACGGGTGAAGCAAAGATGAAAAACAGCTGACCGGCTATTCTGTCTCCCGTGTAGGGTTAACACTGGCTGTCTGAGTTTCAAGCTTTCAAAACGTGAAGGACGAGTGTCTTAGCTTCAGCGAAAATGGATGCAGCTTAATTTACTCAGTAATTAAATAAGGCTAAGAGTGTCACGCATTTGGGGAGGGGTGTTTACTGATGCGCAAAACCTCAAGAAACAGTATATTATCAAGACGAAATTCACCTGAAAAATGCGATGCCATAACACAATAAAAAGTTCTTCAGCTTCTTACAACCCACAATTTAGAAAGTCTCCCTCAGATACAGTAGCGCCTGTCGCATTTGCCTGCCAAGTTTGAAGCAATGACCTCGATCGAAACCAAACATCTGAGTAAACAAAATGATAGCACAGATTGAATGAAACAGGTTTAGCCAAAGATTATACGTTTCATTATACGTTACGTGAGTTTACAAATACCAAATACCTTTATTTTCACAGGGATGTCGTTATGACAGAAAACTCAGCTTAATCCACTGAGACGGTTTGTAATGGCTTTCCTTCTTCTCTATAAAATGACATCAAAACCACTTGGGACAAGAGAGCAATGAAACATAAATTCTGCAAACAGAAACATCGGAAAGGTCGACTCAACCGTATTTTAAAATGCACGACTGTTGTCAGTCTTAGCGAAACAGAACATAGTTGCTCGCTGGTCAGTGAAAGAAGATACAACAGCCCGAAAATGACAGTGAACACGGGGACCAGAGTTTGGCAGAGAAACCATGCCTAACAACGGCAACCTAGTCTACGTTGTGGTCATATACTGGGCTCATGGTGTGTGCTCTAAAAAGTATACGTGCACCAAACTGGTTTCTTCCAAATTTGGTAATGCTTCTGAATATATAAGGCTGTGGTTTTTGATACAAGCAAGGTTTTTGGGGCAAAGCGGTCCTCATAAACGGCAAGAAAAAGCACACTACTGAACTTGACAAAAAGCTAACGCAGAAAGAGGAAAAGGTGTTATTGCATGTCCTACCCTAACGACGACACGTAAACGCTGTGCAGTTGCCACCCACAGCAATTTGTTCTTCTAGCACTCGGCCTATTTTCCCACCGGTAGTGTCTGGTTTTCCAACATCGTCTTTGATACCCACCAGATGACGGTAAGCTTAAAAAGTCATTTTTTTTGTGCATGAGTTCTTACATACTTAGCAGACAGTGAGTTTTGTGAGGTGCGCACTGCCGGTGATTCTTGATAGTGAGGAAGGCACTGTCTTTTCAGCACATATTGGCTTCATCGACAGTTGAAAATTAATGAAAACAATTTTGTTGGTACAGCTGTCAAAACAGGACATATTTTCAAATATTAGGACCAATCTCCATGCCAGTAAAAGAAACCCAGCAATCACTATGCGAATGAGACTTCATCGGAACCCTTTATCGACGAACTATGGTTAATTTGCATAACACAGATAAGAATACAATCGATGTTTTAGTTCTCATCCTGTCAGACAAGCTCAGTTGAAGACTGCCAACAGTAAGTCCCACCCCTAGGAAGAAGCGACCTTAATACTTGCATTTGTGGCATCACAATCTAGCACCTCGTGTCTCATGCCAAACGTTGTCCCACAAACGACACTGGTGATTTCAATACAAAAAGGAAAATCAGAGAAAGGGAAAACCGGTACTTTCAGACCATAACTAGTGAAAGGCTCCTAGTTAGTTTGGTTTATTTGACGTTCACGTCCTTTGAAACCTTCCCAGATCACCAATCTGTCCTAGTTGTGAGTGAATGAAATATGGATTCAAATTTCTATCTTATTATAGCTCATCAGCATCCTTGGCCGTGCTGGGCTTGAACTCCGCACATCTGGCATGCAAGACGAACTTGTTACTACTAGCCCACCATCGGACGCTGAACGAATTTGAGTTTGACTGTCCGTGAATGGCATGTCCAACGAATCAAACGACGACCCAGTAACATACCTTTTTTGTGTCGACCGATGGACCTGGCACGAATGTCAAACGCCAATTTCTGGAATCGACAAGTATTTTACTAATACCCCGGGCCCGTTTGGTCAGGACGAGAAAGTCGAAATCACAATTTTTCACACTGTTTCTAGACTTCTCCCAGGGCAACGCAAGTCCTCCTAACACCGTTGTCGCCTGTCATCGTTTCTGATCCTCATAGAGGCTTAAAATCACCCATTCCTTTCAATTTCTGGGTCACACCATTGACTACTGATCATGAAGCCGACTCCCGTTCACAGTGCTTCTCACGGATACTGTGCACTGGTTTATGAACGTTTTCCTCAAATTTTGCGTGTAAAATGGCCTCGAGTGAAATGTGACTGCATAGACAAACATGTTGCTCGTTCAACTTGAATTCGATTTTGTCACGGTGTAATGGCTACTAGTTGTACGCTATCTCACCATCCGTCGTCACTTCAGTCTTGGTTGGGCCTACAATAAGTGATATAAACACCGCGCCTAATGTAGACCCAATTTATCCATCCCGGTTACGATTTCTCTTGTTGCACCTCGAAATGGTAAGTGTTCTGCTGTGAATAAAAATTAACACACATTCCAGATGCGTAACTCACTACTCATAGGACTCCTAAAAGCTCTTTGAGGGAAACCATTAACGAGAGACACGGCTGAATTCATTTGGGTCTCCCGTCTAACGGAAATTTGTGAGCAAATGACAGTAGCTGATGAATAACCACGTATTCGACTCTTGTCTTAACGCGTCCCCGTTGATTAAGATTGTGTCAGCAACTTACAAACAACCAGAGACGTCCTTTAATCTGGTTTTCATTGCTCTGGTAGCCTGGAATTTGACGGCAGATTTCTACCACCCCAACCAACCCATGGAACCATAATTCAACTAAGACACCAAATTTTCCGCCAGATGTATGTAAGTGGTAAAATGTGGACAGCCGCCCTAACTCCATCGTATTTTGTTGAGTTTAATATCACGCTCGAAAATACAGATTTTGACTAGTTCAGTCGAAACAATTGTTCCCTGCTGCTCCTGGCCTATTACAGAGCATCTGAAACCGTCGTCTCTGTGTTGACTACATTTTCATTGATGCAGACGTCCAAGTCGGAGTGTGTAGAATTGAACTCATTAGGCTTCAGTTGTCCATCCGAGATTCCTAGGAATTACGAAAAATACTACGTTTCCTATGAACATTTGGAGGTGGAAAATTCAATCCCTACTCACTGAATGTGTCGTTTTTCTGAATGTACTCGCACATGGTCGATGATCGAACACCGGCCGGGTGAAATAATGTGTCTCACTCAGGAGCTCATCAACA